GAAAAGAAGAAATGGAGACTTGTGGGAGCATAAGTGTGGCATTTCCAGTTTTTATCCAAAAAAATGGTCCAACAGCAACTGGGAGGATGAAAATCAGAAACATACTGCTAGTTTTGCTTATAAAACCACCAGATTCATTTTCAGTAAAATTAAGGAAGCACTAAAGCCCACTCTACCAAAAAGTTGGAGGGAGGGCTACCTAAAGCAGAGAAGATCAGTAGAGATGTGTGTGGAAGAGGCTATGACACAGATCTCAAGAAGGGCCAGTAACATACACTTCCTGACTAGAAAGACATCTCCAGAACAAAATGTGCATCATATGCACACAGTGCTATTTTTCATATGTCTACCCAGTTATTCCCAAAGGTCTTATTGAATTGTTGTCTTTTCTTCACTCAAAGGAAATGCCATCTTTTTCATATATGACATTCCCATTTGAAAGTGAATCAATTTGTAGATTATATAGTTTGTCTTAATGTACTATCTGGGTAGTTTTAATTTATGTAGCTTTATTATATATTTTATAATTTAGTATGATAAGTCCTCCTTACTTATGGTTCTTTCTCAGAATTTTCCTGGTTATTCTTTCTTATGTCTCTTGGCTAATTGTAATAATTTATCTCTCCAAATCTATATTAAGTGATAGTAATGACAACAGAAATCTTTTCTTTAGTGAAATTATTTATACCATTTCTCTATTAAGCAGGATTCTGGCTAATGAGTTCGGTAAAGCAAGTGTAATTTATAACAAATTCTAAAAAATCATTAAAATATATGAAAGAAAAACTATTTGTATACATATGCAAAAAATCCAGGAATGTAAATCTATTTTATCATGTTGAAGAAATGTTTGTTCAGACCTATGTTAACTGAGCATTTCTACTGAGAATAGATGTTGAATTTTATTAAATGTCTCTTTAGCATCTATGGAAAGAATACTGATTTTTCTTCTGAAATCCATTAACATGATAAAATATATTAATAGCTTTCCTATTATTGCACTATCTTTGACTTTCTGCAATAAAAACCATTTAATTATGGACTAATATTTTTTCATGTGCTACTGGATTCTTTACGACTTATAACTACATTTATTTATTTACATTATTGGATATTTTGCATAGATGTGCAAGATAGTTTTTCCTTTATATATTTTAATCAACTCTCAGGATTTTGTTATCAAGCTTAGGTTTGTTTTACTAAAAATATTTTTAGCATGTTTATTATTTTCTAATTCCTGAAACAATGTAAATAACATTAGAAATTCTGTTATTTATAGATGTGATGGTTTTCTTGGGAAACTACATGGCCACATGCTCTTACTGGAGAGATCTCTTTTGCAAGTTTAATATTCAGAATAATTAACAGTCTATTCAGCTATGCCAAAGAGTAACAGCTGGGTATCTGCACTGCTGTGATCTTCAGCAACCTTTTTCTCCCCTACTATATTCTGTTTATATTTCTATCTCTTTGGGAATTAGTTTTCATTAATTATATGTTTCTATAAAATTACTAGTTTCATCCAATGTTTATATATATTTGCATATACTTGAGCAAAATATTAGTGGAAAAAATAAAACTATTGCATAGCTAAAAGTTAGAAGCATTTCTGGAGTGAATACACACTGTTCATAACACAGCAAGGGACATAAAGGGTAGACATGGGAAAGGCAAGTAAAATGATGTGGCAACAAAGAGTTTAAAGAGATTAAAAAGAAAAATGAAAGATCTAGAAATCAGGCAAAGAAGATCCAACAAATGAATGTTACTAAAACACATTAACCTCAGGAACACTACACTTAAAAATTACTGAGAAGCTCAAAGAGCTTTTATTCATGTTCGTTATATGTAGCTATGTTCACCATATTAGAAATTAAATCTGAGAACTTTAAAATTTACTTATTCAAAAATTAGATATAAATTCATACAATTTTCAGATAAATAACACAATTTTATGAACATTAATTAATTTTCCAAAAATAAAAGTAGTGAGTGGAGTAACATATTGTTCTATATTTTTGTAAATCTCAATAATTGAATAATTGCTTTTGAGTTCAATCTCTTGCAATTAGTCATTTTAGTTGAAGTATATGAATAAAATATGGCCTCAGAAAGATAAGTACTTGCAAAATGTAGGGATATTTTAAAAGTTTTTTCAGATAATTGTGAAAAATCTATGATACTACATCAAAATTTGACAATTGATAGCTTCTTTTGCCAATTTCTTTCATGATGCATCTCCTAGAGGGCCAAGATTTAATAAAAGTAGTATTTTCCCCCTGTTTTATCAGTAACATTGTAAATAAAATTACTTTCTTTTTCCCACTACAAGGAAAGAATATATGAATTACTAATATAGTTTGGTACCACTGATTTGGTTCATGCTAAGGCTCCAGCACTTTTATCCACCATTATCTTGGTACCATCAGGGCAAATGTCAACCTAGTAAAAAAGGCAAATAAGATCTTGATATTATTATGAGATGGTTTTAAACTAAAAACCCCCTTGAAAGGGTCTTGGAAATTTCCTCCACTGACAAGCCACAAACACACTTTGAGAAACACTTCAATACAAACAAAATGGGACCTGCAAAATATTGTCAGGGGTATTGGTAAAAAAAAAATTTGTTAATAATTTCAGAGATAAAATGGTTCCACTTGTTATATGTTTACTTGAATTCATTAACTCTTCCATTCCCTCTGTCATGGATGTTCAGGTCACCTCATACATCACTTGGCTATGTCATAGATCTAATGGTTTCTTATTTTTAGAGTTTCTTCACTTCAACATTTGCCTAATCATTTTGGGCTGATTAATATCCCACATAATATATCTGGCCAACAATTGGAAACTTCCATGGCCTATAGTCAAGATCTGATACATTCTAACTCAACCAACCATCCCAACCCTTTCCTCTCTATGACCCTCTCCCCCACTCCATTCACATAGCTTTTGTTCAACATGTAGGGCTCTCTGTTTACTAAAAAACCTTGTTTGTTTCTACATTTGTGCCTATTGATAATATTTTCTTAGCTATTGACATTTGATAAATTTATCAAATTCCTCCACATGTGTCAACTATTAGATTAAATGGTATATTCTAATATTAATTTCAACAGTGGCATCTTAAAATATCTTACAGAGTGGAGAAAAGGAACCCTCCTTGGGGAAGGAGCATGCTTTTAAATTGAGATCTAGAGGGTCAGTGGGAGACATTGGTGGAAGGATGTAATAATGGAACAAAAAGAGGACAAAACTAAGACCATTAACTTCATGCTATATTTTATTTGACTACAATGTGTTGATTTAATATGTCCTCCTTTTTAAAAAGATATTAATGTAGGGGTGCCTGGGTGGTAGAGTTGGTTGAGCATCTGACTCTTGGTTTTGGCTCAGGTCATGATCTCAGGGTTGTGAAATCAAGCCCCAAATCAGAGTCTACTTGAGTTTCTCTCTCTCTCTCTTTCCCTCTGCACCCCCCCAACACACTCTCTCTCACACTATCTCTGTCCCTCTCAAATAAATAAATAAATCTTTAAAATAAAAAGATATTAATGTAAAAACCTTCTGATTTTTAAATTAGTTGAATTAGTTGAAAAACAATTCAAAAGTAATTTTAACATTCTGCAGAGCAGATTTCAGCATTTCCTCTTAGAAAGAATGAACCAAAGAAATGGGGTTTTCCAAGGGCATGATAGTTCCCTTCATCTTTCAATAGTTTTTTCAAATCTTCCCATGCATTTCAGCTGCTACTTGACTACTCTCCCTAATATCCTTTTTCCTCTTCATAGAACCTTAACTTCCATCAAATAAATAATAATAAGCACTTGATATGTTGAAAATATAGTGAGAAAGGAATCAATACTAGATTGTACATAGATATTAGTTCAGTATAATCTTATGTCTATGTCTCAGCATCATTGAACATTTCAACATTATTAATATTTCTTTTTACATTTGTATTGCTACATCTGGCCAACCTTATCTAAATATGTGTTACCTCTGAATTTAGATCTACTACATCAAAATAAATTATAGCAAATTTAGGGAGAAACCTAGGAAATTATATTTAAATGTAAATATAAAATTATATTTAAATGTAAAATAATGCTAAAAATGCAGTTTAGGCACTATATATATATATATAGTGCCTATATATATATATATAGGTCCTCCATTTCAACATAAACCACTAACTAAGAAGAAATTTCAAGAGTACTTAATAACAACCATTTTTCATCCTTACATTGGAACTATCTTTAAAAATTTAAGCCTTGGGGTGCCTGGGTGGCTCAGTCATTAAGCGTCTGCCTTCGGCTCAGGTCATGATCCCAGGGTCCTGGGATCAAGCCCCGCATCGGGCTCCCTGCTAGGCGGGAAGCCTGCTTCTCCCTCTCTCACTCCCCCTGCTTGTGTTCCCTCTCTTGCTATGTCTCTGTCTGTCAAATAAATAAATAAAATCTTTAAAAAAAAAATAAAAATAAAAAAATAAAAATTTAAGCCTTGAGTTTTCTTTTTTTACATGTCAGTTAATGATAAATTATGGGCTAATAACCCAACCTCATACCAGAATATTACTATTTATGATAAACCAAAGTACTGTATTTCATGATGAGTCTGGAGCAAAGTATCTGCAGTATATTCCCAATAACCCTGAGCATAAAAGATACATCAATATAAGACCAAAATTCAGACCATCAGGTATGAGAAATGTATCTTTGTGAGCTAGTCTCTGCAGGTAGGGCTAATTAACTAGCTTTGCAAAAAATGTAAGAAAACACAAAAAGATATTTTGGGAAGGAACATTAATAATTAGTATTAATAGAAATAAAATCTTCAAGTTTGAAAAAAAAGACTGATTGAAAGAAAGTTGTAAAATTTACAATTTCTTAGATCCTATAAAATAAAAAATAACTAAGTAATAAAGACCCCGGGGATGTGTGTAAGACACATAAAGAGGCACTCTTCAGGTGTGTAAACCAAGTCACAGCACGCATTACCTTTGGGTTTTACAGTCAGCTGGACAGATGCTTTTTTCACTCCCAATGGACTTACTGCCTGACATTCATATTGGCCTTGGTCATGATGTGCTGCATGGTCAATTCTCAAAGTTCCAGAGGAGAGAACTGTATGCAGACCTTCCTGAGGGAGCTGCCCTCCTGCAAAGAGGGAAAGAAAATACTTTGTATGGCATTGTTATGGCTCAAAGAGCTGAAAACTATTACTGTGTGATCTTCTGGGGGTGGGTAAAGGTTGGGATCTCTCTGGAAATCTTCCGTGTCACAATACTGGGACCACTCCTCCTAACACTGCATCTGGGAAATGGGGCACACCCCTTGACCAGCCCCCTGCAGGAGAACTGGTCAGCTCCCTTAATGAATTCCTCCACCTTCATGTTTGCCCCCTCAGTTTTATTTTCCATAGTTAGAGTGCAAATTTCAAAACTAACCTTATTCCAACATTACCCTTGCTTCCTATTACTCTTAGAACAAGCCATAAAATGCCTAAGGGGGCATGCAAGGCATTGCACAGGCTAACCAACCACACCTACTTCTATAGCCTCATCACTTCCACTTTTTACTTAATGGAGTGCAAACAAGGCAAAATTTGGATAGAAGAATTGTTTTTGCATTTTTTATTTTTAATAACAGTTTTTATTCCTAGATTACCCCCCAAAATGATTACTAAATACAATTTTCAAATATCTTTATCACATTTGTCACATGTATGTAATATTTGTAATATAAAAACATTATGGAATTACAACATTTAAGGTGCTGAGACAGAATCTCGATAATGGTGGTTTTTGTGACACTCAGGTTGCTAATCCTCACAGTTATACAGTTATACCCACCCAGCCAACATTGCACTTTATCACCTCTGAGCTTATACTGAGTTTACACTCCTTGTAGCCATTAACAAGTTAATGGATTGTCATTCTCAAGTATTTCAGTAACAATATGTTACCATCAAAAGTAAATAGTTAACATTTATTGTTAACAAAAAAAGATAAATAAAAAATGGACAATAAATTTTAAAATAATAAATTTTTAAAAACGATTTGCCTTTGTAAATAGTTAACCTTATTGACCATGTACACAAATGAGCCAAATACTCTTCTAAATGTTTATGTGTATAAATACATTCAAAATAATCCCCAAATCACTCCCAGCATATAGATAAAGAAACTCCAGTAAAACCACAGTTAACTTACTTGCCCAAGGTCATGAAACTAGTAAATGAAGGAGGGAAATGTGAATCTTGGCTTTCCAGCTTCAAAGTTCACCTCCTACCCACTCTACTCTTACAAAGATGAGAGCAAAAATTTTAGCCAGAAGACGTTCACAATTTTGAGGTGTTTAGAATTTAACCTAGTTACCTGAACTAATATAAAAGTTAGCAATTCCAAGACCAGAGAAATCTTAGAGGAGCTCTCTTCTCAGAATGTAGACCTTAATCTCTAACACCCCAGGGATCACTGGAAGTGCCCAGCCTCTCAGGTGCACCCCACATCCCCCCCCAACACTTAAAAGACAGCAGCTCTCTGGGCACCTGGATGGCTCTGTCACTTAAGCCAGCAACTCTTGGTTTTGGCTCAGGTCATGATCTCATGAGTTGGTGAGATCCAGTCCATGTAGGGATCCATGCTCAGCAGGGAGTCTGCTTAAAGATTCTCTCCCTCTGTCCCTCCACTCACTCATGCTCTCTTACACGCTTTCTCTCGCAAATAAATATTTATTTATTAATTAATAAGTTAATATTTATTTTATACTTATTAATAAAAATACTTATAAATAAATAAAATAAATAACTTAATATACTTATAAATAAATATTATATTTATAAATAAATATTATTAATAATAAATAAATAAATATTTATTTGAGAGAGCATGCACAAGTGGGTGGAGGGGCAGAGGGAGAGGGAAAAGCAGACTCCCCACTGAGCAGGGAGCCTGAGGTGGGGCTTGATCCCAGGACCCTGGGATAATGACCTGAGCCTAAGGCAGATACTTAACCTACTGAGCCACCCAAGCGCCCCACACCCCCACCAAAAGTAGCTCTCTTTTATCCACTTAACATGCTAAAGTTTTACTTATGGTTGGTTTCACTGCACTTACAATTACACTTTGTACAAAAAGAGAACTCTGCCACTTTAAAAAATATTTAAAACCACTAACTGTCCAATAATTT